TTCCCTGCAACAAGGACTGAAGTGTGTGGTAGAAAGAAACAAGTCACCAATGAGAACTGTTGCAAAAGGTAGAGGGGAAAAGCCTTTTCCATAGCTCTCCAGAGGACAAATGGAAACGGTTCAGGAGTACCCAGAGAACAGCCTGCTCTCGTTACTCATGTCAAAGATCATATTTACACTTCCATCCCCAAGTGCAAAATAAATAGCTCTGTACTAGTGAATACACTTGCATTTTGGGAGGTTGGAGCTGAATCAAACGACAGAATATTCATTCCATCTGGGCTATTCCAAAAGAAGGTCTCTGTAGTGATTTCTTTATATTACTACTATTTTTTCAGGCAATTAAGGAGGGAGTGCTTAAAAAAAATATGCCCAACCAAATGCAGAGAAACCCATCTTGCCTACTCGCATTTCTTGGCTGGGGCCGGAGCCAGTCTTGAAGCGATGCAGAAAAGCCTCTGGCCTCACATGAGCATCAGTCCTGCCTGTGGGAATGTCCCTCCTAATGAGCTGACTGCTTGGCTGGCCCATTCCCTGGAACAGCAGCAGCTGGTGTGAGCTGCGCTCGGGCAGCAATCCCCTAACAGCCCCACATATCAGTCTCACACCAGAGGACAGGGAAATAGGAAAAGCCAATGGAAAGCTCTACCAACCCTTCCTCTGACTCATTAGCTCCTCTCACTCTGCTATTCCTCCCTTCCTCACCCTCTCAAATCCTCAAAATGCTTTGTCTGGGAAGGCCGAGAAGAGCCACTGGGCAACTGCACCCCAGCGCACCTAGTAAGGGGAGACGGAGACTACTGCAGCTGTGCCCTCCCTTGGCCTAGGACTGGGCGAACGTGAGGGCAGATGAGACTGAAGGGGGAGGAACTGATGTTATGGGCGACCACAGAGAAGGCCGTGGGAAGAGGAAAAGGCTGGACAGCAAAATTTGCATTGTAGCAGGACAGCAGGTATGTCAGCAAAGTAGCAGTGGGCCAAAATTGCCTCTGGTTTGGCAGACTGAGCAACACTAATTATCACACACACATACATATATATTTAAACCAGTACTCCCCCCAAAAAGTGTAGACAACTCTAAGTTACCGTCAGGAATCAAAAAATGGCCAAGAAAAAAAACAGCAAAGAAAAGGAACAGATGATTGTCTTTCTTTATGGCAACGTTCAAGTGCTGCACGCTAACGTAACACGCTCAGCACAGCAGTGCTGGGAACAAATGCAAGCACCAAAGCAGCAAAACCTGGAAGTAACCAAGCTGTTATTTCACTCTGTATGAAAGAGAGTGAGGACTTTGAAAGCTAACCGACCTCATGGCTCGTAACAGTCAACGCTCACATACACAAACTGCTGCACACCCAAAGCTGCAGACCCAACTGTTCACCTGCCTCGTGGTGCCCTACACCTGGTGACACAGGACGGAGAGCTGCCCTGGACACGAACAGCTCGAGCACTACCTCCGCTCAGCATTTGCTTTAAACCCTTTTGCATAGCACTTGTGTCCTTTTGCAAGGACAGTGGCATGGAAAATAATAAATTACATACTGTTTTTACAAATCACTATTTTTTAATCCCATAATAATCAATGGCCATACCTTACTTAGGTTAACAAAAGCCGGGCTAGCCAGCACCCTTTGAAACAGCCACTGCAAAATGAGATAAGGTCCGTATACTGGGGACAGGAATGACTGGGAGGATGGAAGCACTTCCCCAGAGAAGATATTTAAAAGGTAAGCCATGTTTTGGAAAGGGCATGTGACAAGTATCACAGTTTAAAGAATAATACAAAGGAAAATAAGAAGTACTTCTGAACCATACGTTTATAACTCAAGAAAAAGGGTTACTGAATTGAAGAGAAAATCAATAAAAGGAAATACTTCATTGTGTAACTAGTTAGCCCCTGGCCACCCCTGTCACACAGCATTGCTCGAGCCAGGAATTTAACAAGATTTTAAAAAGAGCTGCATGTCTGCCGGAATAATGCCCAAAATAAAATATTTCATACCAGCACGTTTTTTCTGAGCCGTGATACCACATTTCATGCTTTGGTGCGCAGTGTAAGCACTGACATTTAGGCATTAGGAGCAGATCTCCGGGATCATCCCACCCTTCCCTGAAGAAGGGAACACAGGCGCTCTCCGGGTAAGGCGCTCTGGGACAGACAGGCACTGACAGCATCTGCCACCCGCTCTGTAACACATCTGCTCGTGGGGTGCTTTTCTCCCTCTCCTTCGGGGGCTACTGAGCTGCCCTTTCTTCCCCCTTTTCCTTTAACAATTTTGTTCCTCATTAAGCAGATGAAGAGTTGGGGAGAAGTCAGAAAGGGAGGGAGCTTTCTGCATTTATCAGTTCAGATGTGAAATAACTATAGTCAAGCTGAGTTTTAAAAGGGAAATTTGTAGGCAGCAACATTTGATTTATACTGGAGGTGCTGCAGAACAGACCCACTTTTCGGCACAGCGAGTATTTAATCATTTTCCCCCTATTACCAAAGCATGAGTTAGGCAGAAAGGCATCAAAGCACAGTGAAGGCAGCAGTTTTCCCAAGCAAAGGAAAGGTTTTCATGTCCTCAAAGCTACTTCCAGACACATTTGCTGTTCATCTGTTTCTGGGTTTGGTGAGCTACCGTGTGGTAAAGTGTTCAAAGTAAACCAGGTTTTGGCCTGCTGAAAATTTTCCAGAATTTAGGGATGAAATTGCAACATCATTCACAATTTGATATGAAAAATACACGGTCCAATAGCGGCAATTCTGTTAAGGATCTTTCGTGGCATTCTTCTACCTTTGTAGGGTTTGACAGAAAGATTATTTCAGATTCCTAATCACAGAACTGCTTATAAGCCCTTTCTCCATGAAAAGCACCTAAATCCATATGCAAAATAATATATTCTAAAATTTTGCACAGTTATTTCTTTAAAAAGAAAAAAGAAAAAAGTTTAAGAAAAAGAGTAATTATAATTGAAGATCACAAAAGAGAAAAATGACACTTGGGAAACTTCAGCTAATGAACTCAGACCACATCCAGCCTAAAATAGTGACAGAACATCATGTTACCTCCACAGTAATATTAAATGACTTCTAAAAGAGATCTGTGAGAGC